AAGGAGTCTTTGAAGAGAGCTTTGGCTCCCCGTCAGAAAGGGCTGTCTGATGACGAGGCTAAGCGGTGAAAATATTCTAAATGTGGCGTACACTTAAACTGAAATACATTTTGCTTTGCTCCCGTGCTGGTACTCCTATCCGTTTCTCCAAACTATTCCTATAAGTGTGTTACACATCATAGAAAACGAGTGACTGAGTGTGATGAGAGTCTCGGGGAGCAGCAGAAAGAAACACAGTAGCTACCGTTTGAATTCGGCGGCGAGGTGCTGGGCCAACGCCTGGGTGAAGCTCTCTCCTCCGATGCTGTGGTCGGTGTGGGTGTTGAGGACCCGGAACACTCCTCCGTTGACCTGCAGCACCGTCACACTCAGGGACGTCCCGCCCAGCTTGTACACGACGACGTGGCTGTCAACATGGTGCAGATACATAAGTGCACATGGTTTGGAGTAGATACGTTTTGATATCATAATGAATCCATTAAGTGATAACACGTCAACTGCAGCAGCAGCAGCATACCTCTTTCCAGAAGAACACTCCTGTCCTATGTTATAGGCCAACAGAGCCGCAGCAGGCTCGTGGATCAGCCTCAGCACATGGAAGCCTGCAGCTTCAGCTGCCTCCCTGCACAAAGCACACGCAGTGGTGGGACTTCGTTAAAAGGTTTCACTTTCCCGCAAAAGAAACGGGACAGTTGTAGTAGGTTGTGATTTGGCTTACCTCAACGAGCGCTTCTGAGCATGTGCAAACTCGAAAGGGACAGTGATGACCGCCTCGGTGACATCGGAGCCAAGAGCCGACTGAGCCGTTTCTGAGAGAGTGGGAACGATCGATCAGCTTGCCGTTTTTCAGCAAGGCATGCATCTGTGTGCGTGTGTGTGTGTGACAAACTACCTTTCATTTTGTGGAAGATGAGTTTTGCAACATCATCTGGAGCGACATACTCTGGGTGATCTCCCGCTGTGATCTCATAATAAGGCTTCTCCTGTCTGTTGACCACCTGAACACAACAACCAAAGCTTTTACCTGTACAGTCGGTCCTTGTGGACTCCGATAATTTTATTTTAAATATGAGCTTTAAAATGTAGCATTCTGGAGTACTCTGAGAAGAAAATTAAGTGATAAGACATTTACTTTAAGCAAAAAAACTAATTTATTATTCAATTATTAATCAGTATTTCAGCTCTATTATTAATATTAACCTTTATTTAGACAAAATCTATAGAGACCGAGGTCTCATTTTCAAAAGTTTTGGTCAAATAAAAACAAAGATAGCAAGAGTAGCAAGAACCATCGCCTGTACAAATAAAGTGATTCGTTTTCATTGAACCCTGTTACTGTTTGGCTTAATATTAACTTCTACTGTTACTGTAAAGCTGTTAGAACTGTGGCCCATCTTCTATTTGCAATTAATACGCATTCAATCCAGTTCAATTATTTAAATAAAAATGATAATCTACTCTGGCTAAGGTAGCTTATCAAGAGTAAAATAATAGCTGTGATCTATACACACCTCTGCATTGTGAGCAACTGCACGTGGGACTGTTGGGACTGTTAGTACACTGGCTGTGGTCATCACAGTGAACAGTGTGTACAGTGTGATGAGAGGACATGTGAGCCCTTGTTGCTGTAGTTCATCTCCTTGGAGCAGAGGCTGCATTTAGCATACCCTGCCTTATCAATGCATTTAAAATACTGTGACTGCAGGAAGCTGTACTCACGTCTGTTTAGACCTCCACCTTTATCCAGGCCCAGCTCCACTCATATCTCAGCCCTGCGTCAAGCTGCGCTACAACCAGCCTCCTCTCCCTGAAGCTCTTTGACCTCATCATCTCATCAGTATCTGGGCCTCATGTTTCGTGGTCATGAAAGTTATTCTGACCACAAAATCATCCTCATTCTACTTTGAGTTAACACAAACAACCTGCAATCAGATGCGCCGGTGTTCGGGTTTAACGTTAACGACTGACCGCGTGAACTGAACCGGAACACGGGGGGGTTGCATGTTTCATCATGTTACGTTTTTTCCTTCTAAATTGCGATAATGACGAACATGAACAGTGGATAAAGTTCTGCATGCAGTGGACGTTAACTTAACCCAGCAAGTCTGAACGGTAACGGAACATAACAGAACTTAAACTCTAACGGAGGGAAATGAAGACGCTGTACACATCTGAACGCTGATTGGCCAAGACTCGACACGTCAAAGATGTTCTATTGCGAAGATCACGACATCACATTTTCTCCTCGTCTCACTCCAATCTGAGAAACACTGGCTGGCCAGTTGACCCCCCCCCCGAAAAAAAACCTCTACGGATCTACACGATTCACGTGGATGATATATTTTTGATTCAAAATGGTGAATTTCACCGAAAAGTGACAAGTTTGCAGGTATGTGTAAATCAATCAAACTCACCTGACACTTGGTCTCTGTTTTGTGGGTTTGTGTCTCTGGATCATCGAAGCTGCCCATTGAGAGACGGGGGAAGAGAAAATCTATTAGTCAGTCTGAACACCTCAGTAATATACCAGCACCATCATATCATGACAACTCTTCAAGCATTCATCTAATTATGATGTGAAAGCACAAATGTTCTCAGGATTGAGACACCACTGTTACATGTTTGGTGACCACAGAGCAGTTACTGAACAAATTGAACTTGTTAAATAAAAGGAATTCCAGACAGAAGCTGCCAAAATGAAAGTTTCAGCTTCAGTGTGATAATACGCACTTAAGGGACAGTCTGATGTTTAGAAGTGGGGTTGTATGGGGTACTTCTCCATAGTCAGAGTATCAATTACAGTAGACAGAGTTTGGAGAAACAGATAAGAGTACCAGCAAAGGATCAAAGCAATGTAACGCTGCAGACGTATTTTAGACAGCTAAAAAAAAAAAAAATCTACATCAGTTTAAGTGTAAGCTATATTTAGAATATAAAATATATAAAAATGCCTATATGCTTAGAATTTAGATTTGAATATGGAGCAAGTGAGCCAAGCTATTATGCTCTGATGTCTCCTGTAGCTTTAAGATTTGGAAACAAGACAGTATTAAGTATGTCACCTTCTCCCCAGCACTTGTTTCACTTTGACAACTGTGTTGGCAGCGTTGCGGACCCGTCCTTGTTTTGCTGCGATGCCGACAATCTGCAAAACATAGAAATCAGGCAATAAGCAGACCGGCAAATATACAGCTATAAAGGACAAATGTTAGATAGTCTGATACTCAATGAGGGAGCTACAGCAGTCAATAATGGAATGATAATTTGGTTTTACAGAGTAGAGATGTGTACGTTGATGTGCAAGTGTGGAAAGCAGTTTAAACCTCTTTTTAAGTGTAAGTTACAGAGACAGCTGAGTATCCTGTGGAGCCTACAGTGGGCATGATGATGTCAGAACACAATATAATATAAATCTGAGAAGAGCACAAAGCTTCAACTGTGATTACCCCAAAGACTATGACCGCCATGATAACTGACGCAAAATGAAGTGTGGGTTGTACCTGCTCTGTCTCTCTGTAGCCCACCACAGCTGGAGTCACTCTGTCTCCTGCGTCGTTAGCCACCACATCAGCCCGCCCATCCTAACACACACACACACACACACACACACACACACCATTTCAGTTGAAAACATTTTTTTTTTGTAGATTTTGCTGAGGTCAGGATCCTGCTGGACTCCCTGTGGAGCAGTTCCACTGATGACCAAGAACCTGAAGAGAGAACATATCCCTTGAGGCCTGGGAACACTGTGAATCCCCTTGCAAGAGCTGAAGGCCATTGTTAGGGATACACTTAGGAGTTTACCTTGCTTTATGTGAGCTGGACATGCATAAGTGCCGGGAAATAGAGGGATGGTTGACGTAAACAAATAATATAATTTATAATGAAAATAATAATTAGCTACAGCCCTAATACCTACATCATACTATCAATACTTTGTGTCAACTTGAGTGTGTTGTTAACGCCAATTCTGAAATGAAATGACTTCATTCATCGTGTCCGCAACTAACGTCACAGTTTGTTAGCATTTTAGCAACTAGCGCTATTTTCGTAGGATTTTGGAGCTAAACACTCGGCTATATTATGGAGCAGAAGAAGAAGGGAAGCGTGGGAGAACCCCGTGGGATTCAACTGAGCCTAACTCACCTTAAATATCGCAGCACAAGCACAAGTATATCCGAAATGAACTCCTATGGCCGCCATGCTGGAAAGAACTCAGAGGGCTGTGCAGCACGCGCATGTGGCCCACCTTGCGCTTCCAGGAACAACTTCCGGTAGAACTTTTTCAGAGCAAAAGCGTATAACTTTTATGAGCCTACAGAACTCGGAAACTGGATAATGATTATTTGATAGCATTTTATATAATATGGTGTACTAAAACTGGCAATATAATAAATAAACAAATGCAATTTATTTATTTGTGCATATGTATTATCATCATTATAAAGAAGAACAATAATTGTATTCACAGTAACCATTTTTTTCTTTCTAGAAAATACCCACATAACTTGTAAATTCAGCAGCTTTCTTTCCCTAATCACTGTCTAAACCGCAAATCTTGTCTCGAAGAATTTATCAATATATTTTATATCTGCAGAAATCCACAGGCAGACCTTTAAGTAAAAAAAATAAGACTCCATAACGACTAAAATACCTGCATTCATAATCTTACTTTCTTCAAAGTACAGGAGTAGTTCAGGCAAATGTACTTAAACTATCAAACATATTGTAAATGGCTCTTATTTATTATTATATTATTTTGTTATTCACTCAATATCTGAGTCGCATCTTAATGCTATAGCTGGTGGAGCTTAATTTAAATTTACCGCTGGTATAATCTGTAAAATATAATATTTTAGTTAGTATTAATTCAAGTTTCAGGCCAGTTGGATCCATAACCACGTGGTGACGTAAATCCCAAAGTGTCTGGTGGGTGGGACACCGTGGAGCTAATAATAACGACCAACGCCACCATGTCGGTGTTGTCCCTCGCCATTCTGCTGCTTTTCAGAGGGTTTACTTTTTCTGCTGCAGGCAACTGTGAAGGTTAGACAGCATGGTGCGAGCAGAAGTTATACACAGCGTGGTTTACCAACACTAAACTGTGCCGATATCAGCAACAGCTTCTTATTTGAAATGTCAAAATCAGCTGCGCATGCCTGTGGCCACACAGCTCTCCTACAAATAATCTGCCCTGCATGTGTGGACCAAATTAGGGATGCAGCCCAACACATGGATTTTTGCGTAATACATTTACAATCACTTGTGTCAGAATATAATATTATGATAATATTTAATATTTATGAGTAGATTGTGGAAAGTAATCTAAAATTACAGACAGAGAATATAGGACAAAGGTTCAGAGATTTTCAAAACAAAAGAAATCTACATAATTAGATTAGTTTATTTCTTCATATTGTTTTGACACTTGGGTTTCATGTCCTGCACTCTACTTCCAATGAAGGCCTACTTATGTAAGCATTCTATTAAAAACAAGAAATTATACTAATAATGTAAATAAAGTAGAGGTCAGGCTACTCAGCTCATTAGATCTACTTTATATTTATTTTTTATTTGGAGTGAGTATGGATATGAAACGCCCAGATCATAACATCTTTGAGTCAGAATAAGATACATATGCATCATACATATTTTCAAATGATTATACTGAATAATTTGACTATAACAGATATGTTGATTGTAACAAACACTGCTAATTGTGAAACTCACCGAAGAGCCTGTTAAACACACTGTTAACTTAAATGTATCTTTGTCCACAAATAACCAGACCTGTTGATAACCAGAGCTTGCTTACTAACAGTGAACTGGTCTGCAGTGTGTGTGGACTTTCTCTACAGACTGTATGGCAGTCTGACCTCAGCCCACAGAGAACTCACTCCGTCCCTGGTGGAGGAAGAGCTGATCCATGCCTGCACTGCCGCCCATGGGAAGGAGGCAAGGCTGGTGAGAACACAGACACAAGCACGGAAACATAACTACAAAGATTTAGATAATTTATACCATGTAACCATGTTAGCAGAGACATGCATTCTTACAATATGGACACCAACTTGTCCATCAATCAATCTTTGACCATCAAGGCACAAGAGAGCCATTGCTTTATATTCACCTAATTTTCTAAACTGGCAACCATTCTATTGTCTTCCTTTTTTCATGGCCATTTCTTACTTTGAAAGAGATCTCTCTCCATTGCGTCTCCATAATAAAAGTTTGGGGTGACTGGGGTCAATATCCTTTTATTAGCCAGTAATTCTCATTCTGTGTAAAAAAAACAGTCAGCTTCAGTTGGATATGAAAAGCCATGTAAGAAATGTAAGAATGTTAAACAATGTGTGGAACTTGAGTCAAAGACCATATCCTCAATAAAAACTGAGGCTAATGTGTGCATTGTTGTGGTTTTTTCAATGTCGATGATCGTTGGCTTGAAGTTCATTCTACCTTAATATCTAAAAGCTGGCTTAACACTTATTTGCTATCTGACTCGTGGTCAGATACCACAGGATTCTCACAAATACGGGAACTCAGTGACGAACACCCACAGAACACAAGAGAGATTGAAGTTTCTTCAGTTCACGCATATTTATTTGTATTACACAGAATACAAGCAAATCGAGTTGTCCGGACTCAACTGAACTAGAACGAAGAAATGCAACTTACTTTATACTGCCCCCCCCCCCCCCCCCCCGGGGGGGGGGGGGGGGGGGGAATCTGGGCCGCTGAGATAGGCAGTTGGTTCACTAATTAATCGATATCATCAGGGACACCTGTCAGAGGATCCTACTGATCCCTGTTCCCCGTCATGCTAACTCAACAGGAATGCAGTCCAATATCCAGTATCTGTGCATCTACTATGTATGGGCCTATGTGCTGATTGGATGGTAGCTTTGAATCTTTCCCCGCTTTGTCTCAGTCCCCCCTCCCTTCCTTCTTATTTATTAATGCTCCTGCCAAACTTCTGGAGACATCATCACAGCCGTCAGCCGGTCACAGTGACCCAAGAAGAGCCAGACATTCTGGTCCCTGGGCCCATACACAAAGGGCGTCCTGTTTTCCTCGGGCGTGGTAGGGGTGATATCGCGGCCAGTCCCAACTGGACTTTACCAAATTTTAGGACTCATGAGAGACATAAATCCTGTGACTAATCCTATGTCAGTGACTGTATGACTATGCCGGGGCCTGAACTGAGTTTGATACAAAAGAGTACAAAAGTAAGATTATAAAGATTACCCGAGCAAACGTATAATATAGACTCAGAACCAAAATGTTGGGAATAACATAGCCTCAAAAAGGGGGCACCAATATGTTGGGAACGTAAAGGAGCGTGTTTGGGTTATCAGCATCTAAGAAACTAAATTCTTGACATCAATAGAATTATTAATGTCAGTAACAATTATTAATGATTATTAATAATAACGGGGCACCACCCTGCGAACAGGGACCAATAACCAAACGATAAAACTAAGTCTCATAATTAGTGTTCACTCACAATGTCAACAGTCTAAGTACTATTACACATTCAGAGTGAAAGTGAAGGTTTAAGTTCGAGCACAGACCACATATACAGCTATTATCACAATACACATGCACAAAGTAATCACAGACAGCTGCTCTTTAAAATATAACAGAGTTTATTACGTTCTAATACTAATGATCTAGTCAACTAATATCTAAACTAACAACAACTATACATTCATGAGCACGCTATCTCAAATCAACAGACGATTGAAAAGAGGGGGGGGGGAGTGTGTGTGCGTGTGTGTATGTGTGCGTAAGGGGGAGGAGCGAGGGAACAGCTCAGCGACGTATGACGTGTTGGGACGTAGTGACGTCGCTCATGCGTGACACTCAAAAATGGCGGATAGCCAACAGGAGACCTGGCGTCTCTACGTGCCGGTAGCCGTTTAGCACGTAGCTACATTAGCTCAAAGCTATATGTGTGTGTGTGTGTGTTAGTAAAAGAGAAGGGAAAGGAACAAAACAAAATGAAATAAAACAAAAGATTAAGATCCTTCGCGCCGCGCTGGAGTACGGAAGATTGCTCTCTCAGCCAGGGGAGCAAGAACCGCGACTCTTTGTCTCAGCCGGCGGTTCTGACCTCCTGAACTGATGAGAAGCAACTTCGACCTCACTGCGGCTATCTCGACACGAACCACGGTAGCATGGAATACAGCTAACTTCTACACAACACTAGCAATTTCAGGGATCGCCAGTGTCGGTGATCATAAAGCATACACCACGTTATAAAAATGAACAGTACTTTAAGCACACAAACAAGATAAAATAAACAAATTAACTCTCTCTAACTCTGCCCAGAATCGATTTCGCCTTACGGTGCGATGCAATCGTGTTGGTTGAGGGGGGGGATTCTTCTGAGCTTCCGTGGGCTTGGGCAGCGCGGCTGCGGGACGCGGGAGGTGTTCTCTCGGTAGGAGAGAATCGCTGTCGTCTGGATAAGGGCTTTTTGCGTCCTTATGGTTGGAGCAAACGAGGCGCTTGGTGGAGAGTGGAAGTTCTCTCTCTCTCTCTCTCTGAAGAAGTCTTGCTTCTTCACTTCTGCAGGAATAAAAGGGTTCGCTTCGTGGATACGAACAAAGATAAAATAGACAGTTTGGTGAATTCGGCCAGCGAATATAAACTGTTAAACCTAGGATTTGGTTGAAAAGGGAAACAACATTGGTGTGCTCCCTAGCTCGACGGAGGTCGAAGGGAAAAAGCATTGAGGTGGGGGTTGCTGGTAGTTTTGTAGAACGGTGGCTGAACCACAGGGGTCCTGGGGTGTCTTGGCTCTCGGCCAATTAGATTGCAGCGCTGCTTTCAGGTAACTTCAGGAACACAGTTTTTTTGGGGGGGAGGAAACTCACACCCTAATGTGAATTTCTTCAGCACATGTCGAAGCCATATAGTCAGATCCCAACAAAAAGATAGATGTAAATGCATACATTTTACAGATAGATGAATAAACACATAGGATAACGTTGGAGAAAATAATATAGTGGCAAACGCATACATTTTTCCTCTCTCAGTATGTATGTATATATATATACAGTGTATATACAGTTGTGTGAAGAAGTGTTTGCCCCCTTCCTGATTTCTTATTTTTTTGCATGTTTGTCACACTTAAATGTTTCAGATCATCAAACAAATTTAAATATTAGACAAAGATAACACAAGTAAACACAAAATGCAGTTTTTAAATG